ACTACTAAAATTACAAGGGAATGGTTGAATTGCTTTTGACTTGGGTTCTGGAGGGTGTCATTACAGGAGCGGCACTGCACATTTTGGGAGTAAGAAAACCTATGTCCAAGCTAAAGGTCACCTGCAGTCAACATAATGAATCAAAGCGAAATGAAAGCCTCGTTTATATCTCAGTGCGCTTATTGCTATGCTGTATTTAAATATTGTGTCATTTCTTGAAACAACTCATTAGTTTGATAGTCGATTCAGTCCTACAGAGGAACATTCACGGCGTAGTACCGCAAGTAGGAAATTCAGCGAAGTTTCCAAAACCGGATGCATATGCTGTTAGTTGAATGGTTGAGCTGGCAGTTGTTAACAGAGAGTTTGGCCCCAATAACTGCTTTTGTAAGGTGTATAAGGTGTGCTACGGAATGTGTCACAACTCATACAAACGTGTAGTGCGAAGTCTGTTCCAGTGGGATCATCAGATATAACTGAACGGATGCTCGGCATCACACTCCATCAAGACCCCAAGCCCTATTCTGACAGATTGGCTGTGAGATTGGCACATAGAAACTGACATGCTGACAACATCAGTTGTGCCAGACGCCTGGAACCTGTGACACTGCCGTAGTGATGAAGAATTTCTAGATAGATTTTTTGGCTGTTCCGTCCGTGTTGGTAACGACTATGTATCGGGCACAAAACACGTGTGAAGAACCGTTGTCAGGACTATTTTATAGCATTTGTTTCGACAGCACTACGCAATCGTCTTTAGAACCATATTTGCAAGGGACTCTTTCTAAGTGGCTCCCTTTCAAACGTCGGGGGGCTTACTGACAATGAACACTTTAGTTTCCCGAGTAATTTGAACCAGTGAACAGTGCGCACAGAGATATCTGAGGCTAGGCAGTAACCGAACAGTTCAAGGAAACTAACTCCACCATGAGAAGAAAATTGATCTTTCTCGACAGACATAAGTGATCGGAAAAGATTTGCGTCCTAAATCTCTGTTCATCGGAAGATGATCATTAGTGGACGACAAAAAACAGATATTCGATCACCATCGAGAGGCACCTTTTAGTTACGCAACTGCAGTGGCATCAATAATGACGACCATAACACAGTTTCATGCAGAAATTCCATTCGTAAATTCTTCAGAGTTAACACACCTGGCAACTACTCATTCATTCTGTAATTTACAACAGGAGTGGTCCACCAATTTTCCAACCGATTTCCTCAAACCCGCCATTTGCTTTGTTAAATCCTACTGAAACCATAGTGCGAGTTAAGACAAGGTCACTTTCGTCCGATAGCTACCCACATCCAACAGAATCAGCAACGGGACGTTGCACCTGCATAATTCAAGTGAAATACAGCTGTTTTATCTCTAAAGTGTTGAGCAAGAAAGGCGTCACCGGTCCCGTTGCTAACTCCCTCCCGGGATGGAGGTAATAAATCTGTACATCATCATCCAATCTAGCATCCATATCGAATGATTGTGAATTCATGTCCTAATGTGGATCCTTGCTTTGTGATTATGAATGTATTCGGCCTTAGTTCAGTGACAGTTGCTCACCAGCAGAAACGGTAATTTACGTATTCGGTGCAAACGTACATTGGGTAAAATTTAATTGCGCATCACTGGTTTCTCAGTCCCTCTCAAGCCTGACTTCAAGGCACGACACACCTTAGTAAGTCATACAGCATGAATAAGCGGTCCAGCAGTATGTGTTTCAGGCAGGAGTAATGTATACACACATCCGGTAACCTGAATAAATGATGTTGGTTCAAAAATCTTTGTACTCCTATTCTTCAACCAAAAGTATCTGAGTTACCCGGATTCACGCGTTTCCTACTTTTTAACTTAATCACTTTAATCTTTGCCCAACGAAGAGAACAACCTTTGAGTGTTGAGTTGCGTCCCCGAAAATCAGCTGACATTGTAGTGGAACATGCTTTCTGTTCAACATAAAGGCATCGATTCGCTTCAACGTATGCATAGAGAAAAAAGAGTGGACCTGCCTGTGACAGTCACCGGTGTGTCATGAAGCGTGACCAGTTTTAGTTGATCGATCACGCTGACAAGAACTTGAAGTCATCCTTTAAGAACGCGTACACAGGATATGTTGAATATCTGTTTTTCTCAGTAGCTACGCATCAGTATTGGCCAGATTGAAAAGAAGTAACTAATTTGCGTCCCAGTGACGCAGAACTCATTATTAACTGAATTTCTCGGCAAATAATCGAACATTTGGGGAAACGTATTATCCGGAGAAAAAATTACAGACAGCTAGACCACATCAAATTCACTAGAGCAAACTGACTCCAAGATTCATTAAGTTCGATATAAACATATACTTCAAAGAAGCCGTTAAATGCCGGTCAACAAGTAGAATTTTATAAGTTACACTTGGAAACTCGGGTAATTCAGATCCGTTACCCAAGGATCGCCGAACACTGAATTAGCACTATGAAAGTTCACAGAACAGCCTTCCCTTCATATGTTGATACTCTGGTACAGACACGTGGCAGCTCTCACTGAAAAGCAAAAATGAACGAAAACTTTAGCAGATTTTTCAAAGCAAACTGTCGAAGCAAGCCGGATATCTGGAAAGCTTTGTTAAAGGCACTCGCAGTAATACGTTCATTTTGAGTTCCATTCGTGTTCAGGTTCATATTAGTGCGCTCAGGAATTCGCCAAGGGCTAATTGAACTACATTGGGACTAAGTGGTGTAATTCAGCAAAACCAGTTGCTTATTCTGCATCCACAAATTAGCCAACGTGCTACTGTAAAATTACACCTCTCCACAACGGACGACTGGTACCTGACATTGGTAGCCGTTCCACATTCAAATGGAGTCCCAAAAATTAGCAGGCCAAAATGAAGGTATCTTGTCCTGAGGAAACTTACAACAAAAGATTGCTATATAGCCGATGGCTTTCTATTTCCACTGACCAACTAAAGAAGACAACTCTAGGGACTCGAGGGGAATCACTTGGTGACCAGAATTTTGTACTATTCGAATTAGACAAAATTGTAAGTGTATGAATTCTCTGGGCTCGATAACTACATAGGAAATCCTTCGAATATAAATTCGCTCTATCGGTTGTTGTCGCTAAGGCCGCTATATTCAGATAAACAGTTTAGAGATGACAAAACATAAAATGGCAGCGTGATATAAGGTCGGCTTCTGTCAATCTTAGAACCTTGGGATATCAGGGTCCATGCGGTTACCTCAGTGCATTTGTAGGAAGCGCATGACGTTTCACCAACTAAGCTGATGGGCGCGCTTCCCCTCCATAGCTAGCTGTTTTCTGTCACTTCGCGTTCGTCTATAATCGAGTGAAATTCATAGAGGAGGCATAACTAATTCTGCCGATGTCGTCCTACTCTGATGTGACGCCTGAGCATATCCATTTCAACGTCTGCTAATGATGTAACCAAATTACCGTTGACGGTTTCCCCAAAGACTTATAGCTTGTTTCTTCTAAATCTTCAAATCTTTCAGCCTTTGTGTAACCACCTTTCCTTCTGGTGGTGCAGGAGGCAGAACTCCAATTTCCTCTGGTAGTGAACTGCTGGGCGGGAGTTAAATTCAGCCACTGATGGGAGCTGACGCGATAGTTGTAAGCTACGATTTTTTCAATTATCCACGAATATGGGGACACACAGTATCAACCTGAAGGAGACTAAGCAAGCGACTTTAATTTTAAAGACTTATGTGTTACTCACAAACGTTTACATCCGTTTGTCTCGTGTTGCGTGGTATAATGTGAAGTTCATCTGCATACAAGGTCCCTTGACGCAAGTAACGGAGCGACGGAATTATTTGGAAACCTAATACATTTTATAAAATATGACTCATATAGGTAGGCATTTCAAACGTGGTTGGATTATTGATTGGGTCAACTTGAGACTCACACTATTTTCGAAGCTATTAGAGTGACTGTCTTCTGGGAACACACCTAATGCGCATTTCTTTAATTCCTGCTAATTTAGAAGAAGCTTCATGTTAATATTTCAGAATTCAAATTCCAAAAATGTAGCACAGTGAATTCAGTCTCTTGAATATTACAATTGGGATCTTAGTTGTATTTTCGCCTTTGTAGTAATCGCTATTTAGTGAGACCTCTAGAATTTATCATGGGAAACCATATGGAAGAAAGAAGTCAAAAATGTTCTAGTTGATTTGAGTTTATAACATGGTTTCTTTGAAAGATGTCCTGCGGAAAAATTCTGCCTACTTCAGACAGACCGAGTGTTGTTGTTTTGTGTGTCCGGTCATCATAACAATCCACTCAAACAGCATTGTCAGATTCTAGTGTGGTTTTCAAAAGGTGCTTCTTCGGTCAGTCGGACTGATGAATAGAACGTCTGTTGTTTTTCAACCATGTCCACTTCCCCATTCGTTCTCACTCCTTATGTCTGTCTTCCTTGCGTCTACTGGAGTCAAGCAGTGGAGCAGGGCACATCAATAGTGTTTGTGCTAATAATTTAAGAGGCCCAATTCGTTCGGTCAAAATTTGACGAGGCTAAAATGTGCGGTCGTTCATCCTTTTGGCTTCAAGTCTTTCCAACAATATGTGTCCTTGCGTGGGTATTTGTGTGTGCCTGTGCAGTTGGGAGTATGTGGCCTTGTATCTCCGTTGGGATGTCACTGTTCTCAAGGTTTGTGGGTGAATACACCCCACTTGAGAAATTGAAATTACTTGTACCATTATCCTTCCCATGCTATCGCCCACGAACATAAGGCTTCACGAGAATTCACGCAAGAATCGATGGACTTATAGCAACCGGCTTAGATAGAAAGTACAGATGATTCTTATCGCGATTGGAATTCCGATATGCTTAGTGTTCTTGAAAAAGTTAAATTAAGTATTCTTGGAAGTATTGTCTTGATCCGGTAGCCTAAAGGAAGTGTTGGAAACCGCCTAGAGTGCATAAAGAGGCCTGGAGTGCTCTTAGTACATGCATAATTGGCCGATTTAATTTACTACGTTCATGAATGGTGTGATGAACTGTGACCGATTTGGACCGTCGGGAAAACTGGTATACTTGTCTAACTGTGTTACAGCTATTCATCAGCCAATTCCTGAAGACGCGACGACTGTTCATTCAATGTGCAAATACCAAAACATCGGTAGGCAAATACCGTCAATGAATGATATAACCCCGTCAACCATTCAAGTTGCACAGGGACCGCAAATTCCAGGATTTTATCCTCTTGTATCATGTCAGGTTGGTGCGCCGCCAGAAGATGGGATCACTTCATGGGAAGCACGTTCCAGTCCTGTGTTCAGGTGGGTCGAGGAGACTCCTGCACAGTCGGGGCTATTCCCCAGCGCTCACTTAAACACATCCAACTCAGTAACTCATTGTGAACTGTTCACAGAGGCCGAACCGACCACATCCTTTCAATCTCCTTTACATACTCCAGCCTTCTACAATATTGTGACTTCAGTTACCCAACCAGTGAACTGTAACGTCTCCACGGGCGACCTCAGCGACTTAAATGCTGAGGTGGATGGTGTGGAAGACACACATTTTGAAAGTTTGCAGCTCATACAAGAGTGTCTCACAACCGAATCTCTGGTAAGTATGAAGAAGCTTCGTGGTGATTTTCTAGCATGTGTACCAAGAACCTTGGAAAAATTAATGTAGTGCTATCGTTCGTACACATTATTGCTTCATGCTCCCGAGAGGAAAATAGGATTAACGCCAAACACGCGATGAGAAGTTCACGTGCATGTGGAGTTCCTAGGCCTCGTTTAGGAACGGGCCTAGTTCACTCCGAGTTATTTCGGAAATCGGAACAGAAAGTTGTTTGACATGGGGGACAATAAAACAACACTTTTTGTTGTCTTCGAATATGAAACTTTTGGATGAAATATTTTTTTTCGACTGCGCATTCCCTAGAAAATGTTGACCAAACCACCTTTAAGAGCAAAACCGATACTACAGAAATTCAGTCCAGTTTATCTTTTCTATAAATGCTGTTGTGTGTACCAAAAACGACGCTTCAGTAAGGACCTATACGGATAGTTTGTCTCACAAGAAAATTCGGGGATTTTCAAAACAGCCAACAGTCTGAAAAATTTAAAAATCAAAATTTCAGGTTGGAAATAAAGCTTGACAAAATAGTTATCCAAAAGTGTTTTCTTGTTCAAAATATCGTCGGTAAGGCTTTCGCTGGAAGATAAAATTGTGAGTGGCAGGGACCGGTATCTCCAAGCGTTTACCTTCTTGAAAGGGACATAACCGAACAAAACCTTACCATTTTATCCACCTACCCAATAACATAAACAAAACTGTATAGCAGATGGCTCTGGTCACCGCAGATAAAATGCTGATCTTCGTTTGTAAGTCTTTCTAAGTTGGCAACTTATTGAAATATTCGTAGCTAATGTTCTTCATCTGGCATTGACCTTGAGAAGCCCTTCTCACGGATTATTTTATTGGTATTATTATTATTATTATTATTATAGCTACTAACGAATATTAAGAAATTTTCCATCAGAAAAGCCAATACTTCTTGTTGTTAGGGTGTTAGGTGTCATTGCTGGGTGCAGAAATCAACTACAGTTTAGCTGGACCCTGTACATCTAGTGGTCCCTACGTTAATGCACAAATAAAATCATAAATCCATCAGAAAGCCAATACTTCTTGTTGTTAGGGTGTTAGGTGTCATTGCTGGGTGCAGAAATCAACTACAGTTTAGCTGGACCCTGTACATCTAGTGGTCCCTACGTTAATGCACAAATAAAATCATAAAAAAGACTTGCTACGTTTAACGGAACAATATGAGCAAGAAAGAGTCACTTTGTCCAAGACTCCTGAGCCCAAATGTTGCGAAAACACAGACAGTAGTCTGTGTTTAATCAGTATTTTACAAAGTCATAACATGTTCAGAATAACCGTTTCCCTGCGGTCATTACAATAGTTCCATATGTATAACACAATGTATTTTTTGTTGGTCACACCACCGGAGTTTGATCTACAAAGCAATCATAAAGGAACGATAATAAAAAGATGATACAGTGAAAACCTAACGAAATGTCGAAGGGCTTCACCCTCAAAAATGAATGAGATCGCTAAAAGATATGACAGGCTGACAACATGTCTCATTTGAGCACCAATCTAGGGGACATCGACAACCAACCAAAACGTCCAAATACTCGCCCTGAATAAACTAACCCTCTTTGACTAACACAAACAGTCACGATAAATTGACAATCATTTTGCTCAAGCATTGATGTGACAAAACACCTAGTATTTATGGGTTACATCACCTATTTATTTCACTTAGACCAAGAACCTGCATAAATAATTGTTTTAGCTGTCTATGTTACTTTCAGATAGAAGGGGAGGATAGGATGATCCGTGGATCATTTTCAATAAGCTTCCGTTACATTTCGTACTTCTTGCACATTAAGCCTATTTTAGTCTGCATGTGTGCTGATACTGTCAACCATGGCGCACTGAATTTCGCGGCTTTATCCGTATGGATTTTTCGTAACGAAACTACTGGTGATTACGGGAGCGCATATTCCCCGATCCGAAAAGCCCTAAAATTGGTTCCCTGCTGTCTTGTGTGATTAAAATGGTTGAATGAATGAAATCCAGTTCTTGTACAAATACTTTGATGACAAGGTCTGTGGTTCGTATTTTAAGCAGCCTAGTCTTTAGTTGAAATCCTTCTGGAAGATTTGATAAACACCAGTTAGTTAACTTGCAACACGTTGGACATAAACTGGACGATATGTATCTGTTACGCTTTTGGTGTGATTGAAAGCCCCTAGCTTGTTAACCCATCTGAAATCAAGTTGAATATGGTCCGTTTTGTGGAAACATTGTCACTTCAAGGGGCAGGATTCGAAAACAACATGAGTGACTTGGTGAAAAAACGTTTACCGTACTCACTTACATTGTATGTTGCAAAGTAAATTTACGAACAGGCTCGATGTCTCAAAACACCTGACGGGAATCGCGGCGTGGATCATTCGAGGAAAACAACAAATCTGCTGAACCATAGAATATAGTATTCCATGTATAGATCCGAAAAAATATGGCGTTAGACAGAGCCATTTTATGCGGCTTCATTAACCTCAACAAATGGAATGAAATCCGAAATAGCAAAATAAACAATTTGGTCAAGCCCACTGGTTAAGAGTCAAGAATGTTTTACGCAGTCTCATGAAGTGGGTTGGTTTAACGTGGTCATGTAATATTCCTTCAATTAGATCTACCATTCAGCTTATTCTGTTGCCCATAGCAAAAAAACAAAGTCCACAAATCGATCAAAATTGATCCCTTCTGGACATCCGTGCAGTGTGCCAACAAGACAACGCATAAAAAATTTGCCAATTCAGTTCAAATTTTCTAGGAGTTGATTAGAGCTTTGAACCTATTTTTTAGCAAAATAATAAAAACAGTTTCAAAAGAACCTTTATTTATCATCCTGGGAACTTGGCCAAACTTTGCAAACAACAGATGACCAGACACAATCTCATGATGTCCTTTCATAGAATTGATATTTAGTCATCGAATTGTTGCATTCTGCATTTGGTACTTTTCATCAGATGTGCTTGTTCTTTGTTCTATGCGAATCAACTAGTAACGTAGTCCGTAGAGTGGCGGAATCTTCTCACGCTGTTAAATGCACTAGCAGAGTTAACAGGATGGATATCTGTACTTAGAGGTCTTCAGATAATCGTATGTTGTCTATTCACATAAAGTGTGACTCTCCTGTTGACTGTCCTGTGTCGTGGCATTACAAATAGCTTGTTCATCCCTCCGTAAAATGTGAAATGTGGAATGAAACTCTTAGGTGTGGAAGTTTTCAGTTCCTTAGTATGTTCTATCCTTATATACAATCACTCAGAAGAGACCACCTGTGAAAAACTAACTCAAGAGGCCTCTAAATCTCTATTCTTCCGCTAATTGTAGGACTCATGTTATTTTTCATACATTCCCGTAAGTTTTCATCATTCTGACACCAACTATTTCATCTCCTTCGACCATTAGCTCTGCGCGTCCCCTAGTTTCATTGTATTGAAATTGCTTTAGGCTGTTTAGAGCTCTATTTTACCTGGCAAGAATCGGGTCAGTTATCCGTTGTTCCCCACTAACCACCAGCGATCTAGGACCATATTATTCGAGAAATGGATCTTACAACAAATTGAAATTCCCACTTTCCCTGAAGGGCACAACTGTATAAAGAGTACATATGTCGAGATCACAGCGACTTGTTTGCGGTTTTTTAGCTGACTCCGATAGCCGGGTCTTGCAAACATTCGAGGTGCTAAACGACTGGCGTGCAGAAGTAGTTTGCCAAAATGTTCACCAGTAAATGGGCGAGGTTCCCTGCAGTCATACAGTTACTGTATCACTTGTTGAAATTTATTTGCGGCGTTTAAATAAGATCAGCCTGGGGGCTTTGTACAGCCTGTGTTTGCCGTCTAGTAACGACCCAGGTGGTCTCACCACATGATAACTCCTACGAATGCCAGCAAACAGTTTCCTTACCTAAAATGTTGGCTCGACCCAAGTGCGCAGTTATCAAGAGCAATGGGATGCTATCGGAGAATTTCGGCAGTAACTGTCTACTGCAGGAAGAACAATTTTTAGCAACGGGATGAGATTACTGTAAGGTTTCGACAACCGTGTAACTCGCATGTCTAAGTTTGTGTATTCTATGGAGGAAAATGTCGGTAGCTCAGATAGTGTAGATGGTCGTTGGCTTGTTCGCTGAGCTGGACAATTTGAATGCAAACGTTTCATCACCAATCGAGGTGAAATCAGTGAGTTATTGGGGAGCGTAATTGTGCAGAGCGGTGGGCTAATGGTTGTGCGTTCAGTAGTGTTACGTGTATTAATATACGTGCTGATAACCGCGATGAGTTGTTCGGTCGGGCGGTTCCAGTGGTTATCCAATGTCATCCCGTGTCCCCATTTGCCGATGTCCACGTGACCTTTGAGCTTGGCATCCCTCGCCGTCGTAGTCTGGTCGATGTTGGAGTGACCTTTGTCCTTCCGAGTTCCGGGTTGTGACCTGTATTGATTTGAGTCCGAGGAGTTCCTTGTTTCTATGTTTGTGTATCCATTAAAGCGGCTTGCCGGTAGTCACCAACCAGTTTGGCGAGGTTTGTTTAATTCACTTAGCAAAATCCTAAATGCAGCTGCCATTCTGTTACCAGTAATTCATCCCTAACTGCCGAGTACTCAGTTAAACTTTAGAATATGTTAAAACAATAATCACGATTGTGAATATTATTTCTCCAGTATGCCTCACACAGAAATAGAGAGCGTTCAGGATAGCAGAGGTGGAGAAAATTAGGAATTAATCACAGACACATTATTCAGCCTGGAATTGAATATAACAGGAACCATCAACGGGATTACGGTTTCCAACACTGTTTATAAGAACCTTTGTTCAAACCGGAGGGAGATTTTCTGTTTGTTAAAATTCTGCTGATATAATCAAAGACCTTGATTAGTTCTACCTCTTCGACCAAAGCAGTTGTTGAACGAGCATAGTTGATGCGCATACGAATATCCACAATTTTCTTAGTTTATAAATATAGGGCTGGTGG